TAAACTAAATTTTAGTCAAATTTAATACATTTCTTAAGTTAAATTATTTAACTCCATTACATTAGTTAAATTAACGACATATTTAGTAGGAGCAGTGGCGACTTATAGGAATGGTTAAAAATAACTCAAATTGAGTATAATTTGACACTACGGATTTAACAGTGTACACTGAGAAAAAATATTTGGACGTTTGCTTGTAGGAAATAAAATAAACGAAATATACATGTACTTTTGATTGCATTTCTTTAAGACTTATGCTGCAATTCTAAGCAAATATACGAGTAAATCGTAAAATCGTAAAGTCGTAGTTTACAAAAAAAACAAAAAAAAATCGTTGATATTTACGAGTTATCATATAACATACGGTCCACATAGAATTGCAGATCTCAGACTAATAAGTTCTTACGAGTCTTACGAAAAAAAATTACGAGTTTTGCGATTTTGTCTAGAATTGCAGTATTAGTTAGAAGGCGTGCAAATATGTGAATACTTGGTTAACAAATATGTGGGATTTGGAATGATTTTAATGTATGAGGAAAGTGCATAATTAATAGAAGTTATGGTGTCATAAAGAACGAGTAATGTAGATGATGCAGGCAAGCTTAAATTAGTATAGTAATGCGGATGAAATAATCGATAGAGGAAATGTATAATAGAAGACAGAAGTATACACAAAGAATAATAGAGGAAGAAGAGGATATAAGAGATGAAGTGGAAAAGTTTGATCATCAGGTGGGATAAGGAAGCAAAATAAAGATATACGGAAAGAAGATAATACAAGAAGACTGTGTAAATAAGAAGGGTGAAGTGCAAAGAATAAGAGGAAGGTTGATATGGAAAACTCCTTCTTGGCGATGTAAGCTGAAGGAGACATATAGGAAGTGAAGAAAAAGACAGAAAAATCTTGAAGTTAATAGGAAATTGAATAGAGTAATGAAACTAACAAGATATGGAAGAAAATTTAGGGAAAAGAGGATGAAGAAATAAGAGGAGCAGTGAAGAGATTAGATAGAAAAACGAAAGATGAAGAGATAGGCGTGTACAGCTGAAAGAAAGGATAGAATTTGGGGTATTGTGTAGGAGGACGATATAGTACCCGTTGAGTGAAATAGGAAAGTTAATTAGATCTGATAGATATGGATAAGGTGTAGGTAATATGTAAAGATCAGGTAAAAATTAAGAAGATTGTGAGAGGAGATTACAAGAGTATTTACGTAACGAGAATGAATATTTTAAAGCCAATTAGAGGGAACAAGGTAACTATAGGGGTATCAGTAACTAAATAGATAGAAACAAGGAATGGATAGATGTGTGTGGTTAAGAGGAATATAATTGTACACCAAGTCTCCTTAGCTGTAGGAAAATATACTAATACCGTGATTGCATTTCTTTACCGTACACATACTAATAATCCAATCGTCGGTTACGCTTTCGCACAAGCGATGGAAATCAGCGCGGCGATCAACGTGTCAATAATCGCGCAACGTCGATTCGCTTATCGAGAAACGAAGCGTGTTTTTCGTCGCGAACACACACGCACACAGACATATACATGTACACCAATGGAAAGTTGCTGCAGACGGCGAGCCGCGAGATCTCGGGCGGAGAGATTCTTCGACGGGCAACCTGCGACTTGCGAGAAGAAGGCCGAGATTCGCTCGGCACGCGGTCGTAGGTCCCGCGAATCGAATTAGCCGCGTGCTTCCCCGGCCATTAATCCGACAGAGAGAAGAGGAGAGAGAGGGGGGAGAGAGAGGGGGGAGAGAGAGAGAGAGGCGCACAGGGTGAGAGAGGAGATTGAGAGCAAGCGAAAGAGAGAGAGAGGCGCACAGGGTGAGAGAGGAGATTGAGAGCAAGCGAAATAGAGATAGAGGATAAAGGAGAGAGAGAGGCTTCAGGGCCTCAGGCCAGCCGCGAGGTAAATACCTGCAGGACGGGTGGCGAGCGGGAGCATATCGCCTGCTGCTTGACGGTCAGGTGTGCGCTCTTGCAGGTCTTTTCAGCGCTCGCCGGACCGATCACACCCGCGCCTGCGATCTGCGTCTGCGACTCGGCACCGCCGCCTTGGATCGTGCCGGATGTCAGCCTCGGCTCCAGGCCCAGGTACCTGTAATCGCACAATGCTGTATGATAAACGTGACGACATCGACGACGACGTCGAGAGCAATTAATCTAATTGATGATTCCTTCCCTCGCGCGTGCTGGACGATCATCCGGCGCGTCGGGGACTTGTGCATTCGATTATCTCCTCGAGAGATCTTGAACGATGTATTTTGGATGGATGTTATTATATGGTTACTTTTAATTTTAAAATATGGTTATATCTATAATTAATGTAAATTAATTTTTAATTACTACATGATTAAGACGAGATTTTTTTAGAAAGTAGCTTGTTATTAAGAAGATGAATTTCAAATTGAGTTAATAGATTGCCAAGAAGTTTATCAAAAAATGTGTATAAGACGTGTAGGCTGTCGATAAAAAACAAAGAAAAAAAAAAACAAATCAAACGTATGTAAATAAATTACAGTGCAACGATAGATAATTAATTTCGCGGTGTAACGATCGAGAAATCAATATCGCAGAGTCAATCGTACGAACGGTATCGCAAAGTAACGACAGGGAACAAGGTGGGCACGATAACCCCAAGCTGCTCGTCTCGACGGGATTCTTTTTCGCCGGAAGACGATCTCGTCAGATTTACCATTCTCCTTTTATTATCGCTCATAAATAATACACTTGTGGCGGGCGCGCGCGCGCTCGAAACGCGTAATCTTCATTCAACGAGCGCGTGCATCTTTCCGCGATGCGGCCTAACTACCGGCTCCGCATTCGAACGGGGCAAGTCGACGCTTATCGTAGCCGAGGTGAGTCGGCGCGCGCGCTGTCCGTTATCGAGAGAACCCGCGGTGGTCGACGTTACGACGGATCGTCTTACGGGGCACGTTTTACGATGAAATATCTACAGACGAGGATGTACGAGCGACTCGCAGCCGAGAGCGAGCTACCGACAACACCATGAGAGAGGATTCCTTGCGCTCTCTCTCTCTCTCTCTCTCTCTCCTCGCCGTGACGAACCACCTATAATTAGAGCAGGTATTCGGGTGAAAATTATAGAGGGGGAGAGGACGAAGGGCCGGGAGGAGGATGGGAGAGACACATGGGAGGGTGAAACGCGCAGGGGGCAGGGGAACAGGATGCGGGGAGGACGAGAGAAGCCGTAGCCTCGTCGTAGCCTCGGTATCGTGAATCAAGTCAGGAGGAAAGCCAAGCAAGTGAGTTAGCTCTTCTGACTAAACTCGCTCGCCCTGTCTCTTTCTCTCTCTCTCTTCCTCGGCTGTCGACGACGGTGTATCCGACTCTTTGAAGCTCCTTAAAGCTCCGCAAAGCCTCGTCGTCATTGTTATTACTGTATTTCGGCCTGATTAATCGGCCGATTCAGCGACTCGTGCCTATCTGATTTGTGTTCCCCTCGAAACAAGAACGACGTTGATTTTGATGGAAAATTTGTTTAATTGTATGTTGCATTGAATCAAGAAGGGCTGCGATTTCCAGTTGCCATCCACAGACTAATCCTCTGCATACGTTACAGAGTCAAGGTTGGGAACAGAAGCGAATTGTCGACTTGGGGTCCCTCGGAAGTCTCCCTCAGAAGGAGCGCGCGTGATCGTACCCGACAACACCGAGGCATGGATTAATCTGCTGATAATTGTGCCGGCGCTGAACGGCAATTTCGTTAAATGTAAATCGACCGGACACAAAATCGCGTCTCGCTCCACTCCGCCTCGAGCCGTGCCTGCCTGCCTGCCTGCTCCGCCGCCAGCCCTACCTTTAAACGCCGACCGATCTCGTTCTCCTAAAAGCCCCGAAACGCGCCGGCCGCGTCGGCTGTTTTCAATTCTTTCGGCGAGGGGTTCGATTAGTAGCACCCGTCCGGACACGGGCAACGCTCGTTTACACGGTAAATCTTAATGAGAATCGAGGGTGTGGCTTTTTAGGGTTCGGAAGCGCACCCCGCCGCCGCCCTAAGGGCACCAACGGGAAGGAGATAGTGGTCACGGTGTGTATCGACGGGAGAAGAGAGAGAGAGAGAGAGAGAAAGTCGAAGGGTCGCGCTCTCGAAAAGTGGCTAAAGCGCGCGCGAGCGCACGTTCGCTATTCGGGATGATAATTAACGTTACCGCAGTAACATAACGACTTGCTATTCCCTCCTGCGCATTATGATCCTTTACACTGTTAAATCCGTAGTGTCAAATTATACTCAATTTAAGTTATTTTTAACCATTCCTATAAGTCGCCACTGCTCCTACTAAATATGTCGTTAATTTAACTAATGTAATGGAGTTAAATAATTTGACTTAAGAAATGTATTAAAATTAACTAAAATTTAGTTTATTCTTTATTATGTGCACGTTAATGTAACCTTTTTTTTTTAGTAAAAAGTGACAATATTGTTTTAAATGGGTTGATTAGATGTGGTTGTTTCTTTAAACACATAATAGTTTTGTGTTAAAATAGTAAATTTTGACACACATAATAGTTAAAAATAACTAAATATTATTTAACTCAAGAAATTGGTTTAAATTTGACCCTCCAATATTTAACAGTGCATTTTACGTCATTATCTTTATCATAGTCAAATCATAGTCCGTTATCACAGTTAAATAAAGTCTTGTCGTTTATTCATAATTGAGTGCAGGTTAAAATTTTGATTACGCTTAATTAAAAAGATTCCATTCGCATAAAGTTTCACTAGAATTTAAGTTTTATCAAATGTTTATTAAACGCAAGTTTTTTTGTTTTTTTCTTTAGAGCTTTGCGAAAGTTTGTCGAAGATTGGCACGAAGGATGAATCATTTCATTCACGTGGAATTGGACAGTCGCCTGAAAGAAAGCGCAGTTAGCACTGGATAACGACGGCGGATAATTTGATCGGATACCGCGCTTTGATTAGATACATTGCGTGAAAACCGTGCCGTGAATGATATCATGCCAAATGTGCGCGACCAATGTGTTTTATTTCAGCTATATTTCGGAAACGAGAAATCATACCGAAACAGAACCAAATGCATTTTAAAGCTAAATATTAATACTTTTGCGTAGCATTAATGAAATTTAGAAAAAAAAATTGCTGCTGGAGTTATAACGTCATGAAAACCCCAAAAATTCTCGTTTTTGTATTTCTGTCGCCATTTCTCTGAAAACTGTAACTCAGTAATCAAATTTGGAGAACAGATTCGTATTTAGCAGGCAAAAATACATCGGAAGTGACTATTCACATTCGTGAAGTAAAGAAAAGATCAAATTTTGTTGACCAGCGTAAATTTAAAGAAATACAAATAATCCCCACGAAATCCGCTCGGAACATTTTTAATGAGATCCTTCTCGCGGTCATGAGTCGCGAACGTAGGACGTAATTGGACCACTGATACTCCGCGAGACTACCACCTCGACGTTGACGCGGTTCGAGGAATTTCCTCTCCTCCGCGCGGAAAGTCGCGCGGGAAGACCCGCGGAAGCGAGTTGTGTTGTAACCACTTTATCCGACGGTTACCGGTTACTTTCGTTCGTGTCGGCCGTTTCTGGAGCATCCGTCGGTCGTAAAGGGGGTCCCCGTCCGAACGATCGTCCAGGGCGCGGCTTTTGCAGGCAGGCAGGCAGGGAGGACCGGCGGCGGGTTGCGCGCGTAGCGTTTATTATTTATTTGCGGCCGAGAATACAGACGCGGTGCCGGCATCAGCGAGGAGTCAGCGCCTTCGCCTCTTCTCGCCAAGGCTCTCTCTCTCTCTCTCTCTCTCTCTCTCTCTCTCTCTCTCTTTCTCTCTCTCTCTACCAGGGCTCGGCTCACCGTCGTCGACCGGCTATTTCGGGTTTGTTTGGCCACGGTTTACGGCCCTTACGAGAGTGCGTTTTACGGATACTCAGCGACGGGATCCCGGTCCCACTCGCCCTCGTGTCTTGCCCCTTTCGTCGTCTCGCCCGTTATCTCGTGTATACTCGGAAATGTCACGAAGCCCTCTCTTCCTCGCATCTGCGCGAGGATTACCGCCGCTTACGCCGCGGAGAGACACATTCCCGCGGTTCGATCTCCAACGAGGAGGCCACGAGAGGAATCGTCGTCGTCATGATCGCCAGAAGGTGGTGGCCCATGAATCCGTCGCGTCGCGAGGTATAATAGCGCTGTTTACGATCAGGATGAGCCTCTCGTCAAACAGCCGATTCTGGATAACACAGCCGTCTCCGTTGGAAGTCGAAACAGTCGGCCGATATTGCCGGCGAAGATGAAGCGCGCCCTTTGCCCCCTCGGCCGCCTGACACTTCGTCCACGAAGGTATCGGGACACCCTCTCGGCCGACTCTCGGTCGATGAGCATCGATCTATTTTACGCGACGAGCTACGTTTTTAACGCTCCACTTTAGGGGAAAACTTAACGTTTAAGTGCGTGGGTCATCTGATAACGCGTTTAATACCGTCGCTTTTTAAAACCTTTCACCACTTCGAAACATTCACACGCATTTTGGGACTTGTCCCGCCGTTCTAAAGATCCTTTTCTCTCTCTTTCTCTCACCTCTTGATTCTCGTAGAGCTCTCAGAAACGTCATTTCGAAACATTCCAAGACTCAATTCAGGCGAGCGTAAACGCACGTGACAGCAACTCTCGACGAGATATACCATAGCATACTATCAGAATGCGATTGATCGTTTGAACCAGTATGCTTTCGAGGTGGCCACTCTCACGATCGATATCGGCCGATCTGCTAAATAAAGCGGTCAAGGACACGGCACCTAATCAGCCGGCAAACGAACGAAGGTCGCCCTTTTGCCCGCCCGCGACGACCTTTCCGCTCTACCAGAATATTTCACCTTGCTGCTCCCACTCGTCACTTGCTGCGCGCGTCTCGTCATTTTTTAATAATAAATATAAATAAAAAAAAATCCTAATAATAAATATTAATAAAAACAGCCTCAGTGTACAGGCTGGGATAAGGCAGATCTTCTACTTCGAGTTTTATATTTTTGACCGGCCAATTCGCGCGAAAAGAGCCGAATCTATCGCGAGCCCGTGTAATTTTCGAAGAAAAAATTGACCGAATTTGACGTTTCTCA